CTGCTGGAGATGCTGGAGGTGCTGCTGGTGCTGGAGGTACTAGAGGTGCTGCTGGTGCTGGAGGTGCCGGAGCTACTAGTCCTAGAGGTGCTACTGGTGCTGGAGGTGCTGGACCTACTAGTCCTGAAGGTACAACTGGTGATGGAGGTACTGGAGGTGCTGCTGGTGCTGGAGGCGCTGGAGCTGGAGGTACTGGAGGTGCTGGAGCTGCTGGTCGTGGAAGTGCTCGTACTGGAGGTGCTGGAGCTGCCGGAGCTGGTGGTGCTGTTAGTGCTGGAGGTGCTGGGGGTACTGGAGCTGCTGGTTCCGGAGGTGCTGGTGCTACTGGTGCTGGAGCTGCGGGAGCTGCTGGTCTTGGAGGTGCTCGTACTAGAGGTACTGGATTTGCCGGAGCTGGTGGTGCTGCTAGTGCCGGAGGTGCTACTGGAGCTGCTGGCACTGGAGGTGCTGGTGCTGCAGGTACTAGAAGTGCTGGAGCCGCTGGTACTGGAGGTGCTCGTACTAGAGGTGCTGGAGCTACCGGAGCAGGTGGTGCTGCTGGTACTGGAGGTGCTGGAGGTGCTACTGGAGTTGCTGGCACTGGAGGTGCTGGAGGTACTACTAGTGCTGGAGGCGCTGGAGCTGGAGGTACTGGAGGTACTGGAGGTGCTGGAGCTGCTGGTCCTGGAGGTGCTCGTACTAGAGGTGCTGGAGCTGCCAGAGCAGGTGCTGCTGCTGGTGCTGGAGGTGCTGGAGGTGCTACTGGAGCTACTGGCACTGGAGGTGCTGGAGGTACTGCTGGTGCTAGAGGTGCTAGCGCTGCCGGAGCTCGTGGTGCTGCTACTGCTGGAGGTACTACTGGAGCTGCTGGTGCTGGAGGTGCTGGTGCTGCTGGTGCTGGAGGAGCTGGAGCTGCTGGTACTGCCCCGCGCTGAATGTTTTTCTACCTGCAGCCGCAGTCGTCCCTGCCGCCACCTGACTCGGTCCTTCGCCAGGTTCTTAGTCTCCCGTCTTCCACTGGCCTCACTCCACCTCTCCTGTGTCCACCGACAGACTAGTCTCAGCCACAGCTTCTGCCTTGCTCCTCGCTGCCTACTCCTGCTCCTCACACTGAGGTGACTCAGTCCCTGACTGAGCGTCGTGAGCCTGAGACTCGTGCTTCCACACCTGTTCGTGCTCGTCATGTCGCCCGTCCTCGTCCTCCTGCTGTCCCAGGCACTCACGGTATGACACTTCGTCCTTCCTCTGTTCCATAGCGTGTTGTCCTGCCTGAGCCTCCCGCGTCCTCTCTTCCGCACGTTCCTGACCCTGAGTCCAACCTTGCTCGTGCTGCCAGTCCTACTGACACTTGTCTCCTTGCTACTGTCGTCACTGACCCTGACTTTGAGTCTACTGCTGCGTTTTCCCTAGTCACTGAGCTAGTCGACTTTGTAGCTAGGAGTTGTCTCGACTACGTCGTGAGACTTGTTATAGAGTCTGAGTCTGTATGTCCTCCATCCGTCGGGGGTGAGCTTGCCCTTAGCAGTGACGTCCTTGAGGACAAACTGTTTGAGCTTGAGTGTCTTGCTGCCGCTTTACCTCGTTTTGCATCCATGCTGCTTTGCCCTTAGGGAGACCCGGATGCACTTGACATCCCTACCCCGCGCTCTTACACTGAGGCGATCGCGGGTGAGTACTCCTCTCAGTGGCAGACAGCCATGGACGCAGAGATGGCTTCCTGGAAGTCCACATGCACCTACGTCAACGCATTTCCCCCTCCTGGGGCGAACATAGTAAATGGGATGTGGATTTTCATAGTGAAGCGGCCGACGGGTTCTCCGCCTGCCTTCAAGGTGCATTACGTTGCTCGAGGCTTCAGTCAGCGACAGGGGGTCGAATTCTTCCAGACCTTCTCCCCCACCCCGAAGATGACTACTGTTCGGGTGCTGCTGCACGTTGCAGCATAGCGTGACTACGAGCTGCACTCCCTCGACTTCTCCACAGCTTTCTTGCAGGGCAGCCTTCACGAGGAGATCTGGCTGCGCCGCCCACCTGGCTTCACTGGGTCGTTTCCTGCAGGTACCCAGTGGAGCCTCCGGCGGCCAGTCTACGGTCTTCGCCAGGCGCCCCGAGAGTGGCACGACACACTGAGGACTAAACTTGCGGCTCTTGGGTTTGCTCCTTCCTCTGGTGACCCGTCGCTGTTTCTACGCACCGACACTACCCTGCCACCGTTCTACGTTCTCGTGTACGTCAACGACTTGGTTTTTGCTACTACTGACACTTGAGGCGCTGGCCCTAGTGAAGGCGGAGCTGCAGGAGAGACACACCTGCACTAACCTGGGTGAGCTGCGTAGCTACCTTGGCTTGCAGATCACCCGGGACAGAGCACGGCGCACCATCACCCTGACTCAATCACACATGGTGCACCAGGTCCTTCAGCACTTTGGCTTCCAGTTCTCCTCGCCACAGCCCACTCCTCTGTCTACCGGCCACTCGCTCTCAGCTCCACCTTCGGACGAGTCCGTAGAGTCGAGTGGTCCGTACCCAGAGCTTGTGGGTTGCCTCATGTATTTGATGATGTGCACACCACCTGACCTCACGTACCCTCTCAGCCTCCTGGCTCGCTACGTCGCTCCTGGTAGACACTGAAAGGTGCACTAGGATGTTGCGAAGAGGGTACTGCGTTACTTGTGCAGTACATCGGACATGGGGCTCATGCCTGGAGGACAGGGTTCAGTGGTACTCACAGGACACTCCGACTCTTCTTGGGCCAACGACCAGACGACTCAGCGTTCGTCACAAGGTTACACCTTCAGCCTTGGCTCTGGTTCTGTCTCGTGGAGGTCCACTCGTTCTTCTTCTGTGCTTGGCTCCAGCTGTGAGGCCGAGATCTACGCTGGGGCCATGGCTGCACAGGAGCTACGCTGGCTGACCTACCTGCTGACCGACTTGGGGGAGCAGCCTTGTTCTCTTCCAGTTCTGTACGTCGACAACAAGGCAATGCTTGCCTTGTGTCACGAGCAGAGACTGGAGCACAGAACGAAGCACATTGCTCTTTGCTACTTCCTTGCGCGTGAGCTGCAGCAGCGTCGTCAGCTTCGCCTTTCCTACGTGGCCTCGCGGGCCAACACTGCTGATGTGTTCACCAAGGCCATTGGGTCTGGTGATCATCAACGTTTCTGCACTGCTCTTGGGCTTGTGCCCACTCTGCCTCACCTGCTGATTGCTTGACTTGCTCTTGTTGTACACTGATATACATCTTTATACTTGCTTGTTTACTCTTGCTAGGTTGTGATCAGTGTACTGCCTTGCTTGTCAGAATCCCAACCACTACACCATTGGGATAAAAGGGCTTGTTAAGTAGCTGGTCAGTGCGCCCACAACCCCCTAGGACAACGAGCCTGTAACCCTTCCCTAGGATCTATCGGGGATCACCAGTAGACCTCTGACATCCCCCCGCACTGGGATGCCCGAATTGCATATTCTGGGTTTCGAACCGAGAGCTTTGCTTTGATACCATGTCAGAATCCCAACCACTAGACCAATGGGATAAAAGGGCTTGTTTAGTAGCGGGTCAGTGCGTCCATAACCCCCCAGGACAACGAGCATGTAACCATTCCCTAGGATCAATCGGGGATCACCAGCGGACCTCTGGCATTGCTATTATAACTCTGCATGTGAACTGACCTTGTGGCCGCCGCTTGTTTGTGCTCAGATTGTGTGGTGTCCATGAGATCCACCCTGAGCTTTGCTTTGCTTTGTTCTCTTGCTTGACTGATCTTGTGACCGTTCGTTGTGTTTGCTATCCCCCACTTTGCCTATGGGGGTGTGTCAAATTACATTTGTATGTGTAAGCTGTAGTGGGGTAGTCTCTAATGAGTACAACACTTTAGGTCAAACCTAGTACTTGTACTCATCCTTGGTTGCTAGTCAACCATTTCTGCACAGTTGATTCTGACAAAGCCAAGCGCATGGGGTGTGGGATGTGAGAAGGTGGAGGAAGAGGAGTTGGATGAGCGTGGGTGAGGAGTCCAATTGAGAGGGCTCTAGAGTAAGGAAGGGGTTGTGTCCAGAAGAAGCAGCGGGGGCGGAGGAACAAAAGGGAGAGAATGTTGGAGCACAGCTGGCAAGTGGGGTGGGGGCAGTGGAATAAGGAGGGCTGGCGGGAGTGGGACGCAGGAGGAGAGAAGTTGAGGGCGGGCGAGCAGGAGGAAGGGGGATTGATGACAGGTTGAGCCAAGGCTGGGTGAGGACAGAAATGTGAAGCAGCGATGGTGTGGTGTGGTGCTGGTTGTGGGTGGCATGAACAGCAGCAGCCCTTTCTCCTCTGCTGTCCAGTCCAGGCAATCTTCTGGGAGCGTTTTTGTGTTTTAGTGTTCATGCATTTGGGGGAAGAAGTCACTGCCAGTGCATTTTTTTAGTACCAGTAGCTGCTGCCTTGAGTAAGCATTGTACATGAAGGTTGGCATTGGCACGTGCAAGTCCCTGATACAGAGCCAGAGCATTATCTGATACCGGTACTAGGATTTTTGCTGTTGCTGTCAGTGCCCTATCTATATGCTAGTACAGTATGCAAGGTTAGTCACACAGAACCCAACGAAGTGTAGTGTAAATGTTGTGTCTGCCTGTGCTGTGTAATGGTGCACTTTCCGCAACATCAAGCTTAGGGAGAGATAAAGTGAGAAACATATACCGTATTATCAATGTTAACCTGTGAGCACCTGTTTCCACTTCACATCTGGCTCCCTGTTTGCATTAGAGTAACTAAACATGCTACCGTAATAAGAAAACTCTGGGGGGCATGACAAGGTTGGTCATTGAACAAACGTTGCATTGGATATATTTTTTTATACAACATGGTACACATAAACCACCCAGCCCACAGCCAGAGCACCAAGCGCGAGCTTGTATGCATCTTATACGTACATCCACCACTAATCTCTACTGAAGAGTATAGTATGGTGACCAGGTGACCCAAGGTTGTTTTACTCTTTCCACAATGGAGCATCAGCTGCTCTGCTTCGCTTGCTAGACGCAGCTCAGGATGCTGTGTGGAAGGCGGAGTGTCCTCTCAGGTTGAGCCTAACCGGAATCTCCTGCTCCTCCAGCTGCCTCAGCACTGCTGCTCTCTCACTCTCCTGCCTCTCTGCCGCCTCCTCCATTGCTTCAGCTTGCCTGTCAGCCAATGAACCGGCGTCCACCATCTCATAAGAGGTTAGCTTCACAGGAATTTCTTGCTCCTCCAGGTCCCTCAGAGCGGCTGCGGTGGCGTCTGCCTGCCTCTCCGCCACCTCTTCCTCCATTGCTGCTGCTTGGATTGTGGCAAGAGAATCTGCGTCCACCATTTCATATGAGGTCAGTTTCACTGGAATCTCCTGCTGCTCCAGGTCCCTCCACGCAGCCTGTTTGGCGTCTGTGTCTCTCTTCGCCTCCTCGTTGCTTTTTCTCTCCGCCTCCTCTGCTTCCATGGCGGCAGCTTGGCTTGTGATTTGGGAGCTGGGGTCGACAAGGGAGAAGGACACGAGACGGATGGGGATCTCCTCCTCCTCCATCTCTTTCACTGCCGCAGCCCGAGCTGCCTCTTCCTTCTCTCTCTCCTCTCCCCCCTCGTCATTCTCCTCCTCAAATGCCTCCATGCCTTGGATGGCGGAGACCTCTCCTGCCTGCTGCGCTGTCACGTCCTCCTTCTCAATCTGCTGCATCACCTGGGAATTCTCCTGAAACGGCTCAGGGTTCTCCTGCTGCAGGTCGAAAAGCTCAAAGACTTCGACGCCATGAGGCTGCTCCTGTTGCTCCTGCTGTTCGTTCTGCTCCTGCAGCTGTTGCTGCTGCAGCTGGCTCTGCTCCATCTGCTCCTCGCTTTGCATCGCTTCCAGCTCCAAAGCAGCCATCGCCTCAGGGTTGTTCTGATACGCCGCCTCTTCCTGCCGCTGCTGCTGCTCCTGCCCCTGCGGCTGCGCCTGAGACGCTGCTTCCACAATATTCAACTCTTCCGCTTCCTCCGCGTGCATTCTCGCCATGTCCCCGTCGAACACGCCCATCACATGCGCGTCGTGCTCCTCCTCTGCTTCTGCTCTCTCCTCTGCCTGCCCCTCCGCCGCCTCCTGCTCATCCTCGTCAGTAGCGTCCTCGAAGACGGAAAGCGCGCTCTCAGAAGGTGTGCTGTCGTCTTGTGTGGTCGCGGCGGTGTTGGCCATTGTACGCGTTATAGACGTGGTCGCGTTGCAGTAGCGAGTCCCGACGCTGGAAGAGGCGTTTGGAGATAAAAAAGAAAGGGTAACACCATACACAAACAGAAGACACGCGGGGAATAGTGCGGTGAGAATCGACAGGGGAGCGGGGAGGAAGGAAAGGGTGGAACGAGGGGAACAAGGGAAGGGAGGGAGGAAAGACAGGAGACGGAAAAAGCGGGAACGCCAATAGAGAGACGGGAAAATGTAAGACCAGATCGGTTATAGTTTGGACGTCAGGAGAAGCGCCGGGGAGAAACGAGGGAGAGGAGACGTGGGGCTAAAACGGGCTCTACACACAAAACGTGCTCCTCGCCGGGAAAAAACGCCGGCTGCGGCGGGGAGGTTACGGGAGGACATGAGAGGAAGCAACGGGAATCTTTCTCAACCGTTTAGAACCGAACAACTTACAAGGCGTGCTCATCGCCGGGAAGGAACACAGCGGGCCCGTCAGCGGCGCACACATCAGCAGAGAACAGCAGGCAGCGGCGGGAGCGGAGCAAGATGTTCCAGTAGGCGCAATCGGCACGGTGCTGGCACTCCGTGCAGCAGTCCGCGGAGAGCGCGCCCGACGGAAGCGGAACGCCGTTTGGGAGCGCGGGGAGGCGGAAGCGCTTCGAGCCCTGCACGGAGAATCGGCCCAAATAGGCCTGTGATTTGCAGGCGGGATTCGCGGCGGCGGATGCTGCTGACGTGGCGGGAGGGCAGTTGACGCCGATTGGGCGGAACGAAGGGCAGTTGTTGGCCGCAATTGGCGCCGCGAAGTGCGCGAGGGTCACGAGGAGGAGGAGTGAAAGCGTCACCGGTACTTTGAGATGTCGAGACGACTTCCGAGACGCATCAAAAACAGAGGGTCGGCTGCCACTCGCCATGGCGCCTCGTAGTTTACTCTCTCGCGTGACGATCGAAAGCTGCGTGCCTGGAAACCACGCGTGGGATGGCTGTGTCTTGTGCCGCTTCTTCTCCTGTCGGTGCTTTGGCGTTTGCCTCGCCGATTGCTGAGACGTCGAGGAGAATTGGTTGAGAAGCCGTGAGCTTGAACGATATAAAAGGACCGCGGCTCGCCGAAGCTTTGAGGTTCGTCGTAGTCGAGAGGTTACGGGCGCAGCAGTCTTACAGACGATCTGTCAGTAACGGACAGCAGTCTTCAGACGATTCAGATTCCCAAAGAAACGCCCGAGGAGGAGAGGAGGAGATGATGAGGAAGAGGAAGGTTACTAGGCGGGTCGAGGGAGTCGATGAGAGTTGACAGAGCAAGCCCCAGTTCGCGTGAAACCTCGAGAGACTTGCGAGCGCGCCTAGAATGGGAGAAGGAATGGTGTGTTGGCAGTTGTGGCAAAGAGAAGATGGAAACGGAGGAGCTTCTTCAGGTGGTATTGAAGTTAGGTTTAGGAGGAGTCGAGGGAAATGACAAATGCAGTTTGTGGATTTTTCTGGTACCTATCAGTTCCAGGCTTGTGGCTTATATCATAACCAAGTCCCTCGGTGAGAAGATTGCCTGCCTGACAAACCCGCAAACCCGCGCCCTGGCTGGTCAGGCGGAGTGCCAGGAGAATACTCACACCTTGGAACGCTTTTGCCCAGGAAATGACGGATCGCCTTGTTTTCAAGTTTCCGATTCCTTTGGGCAGTGGCTTTGACACCGCCTTGCTTCTCCGCTCGCGTCCGATTCCTTGGGGCAGTTGATTTCGACATTTCCAATTTCCTGAAAATTATGAAGTTACCTGGTTTTAGTTTAGTGGACAGTGAAAAAAAATAACCCCTCTCGGATGGCTGGCCATGGTGTTTAGGGTTGATGCCTCCCAAATGGCATGCCCTCCATGAGGGGTATATGTTTTTTGTCCCGAGCTTCTCGTCTTAGACGCGACAATTCAATTTATTATATCCCAATAAATAAAACACAATATTAGTCTCTGGACTCGAAAAGGAGAAATCGCGTAAATAACTGACCGAAGGTATCGGACGCAAGCGCAAAGCAAAGCGGTGTCAAAACCACTCCTGAAAGGAATCGGAAACCCGAAACCAGGGCGGTCCGTCATTCCCTCGATTTTGCCACTCCTACTCCCCTATCGCAATTTGTGATTCCTCCCGCCTTGTGCAAAGGGGTTCTGTCTGTTGCAGCAGTTCTGCCAGGAAAAGCTCCTGAGGAAGGGACTCCGTAGGAAGGACCTGAGACTTTGGTTACAGCTGGTGAAAATTCAGGCTCGCGTTCAGGCAGACATGAGAGAACTCCTGGAGTTTCCCCTCCTCAGCCAATCACGCCAAAAATTCACCTCGGCTGAGTTGGAGGGCGGGGGACGGGAATGGGTGGGTTGGAGGCGCTAAAAAATGTTTATGAAGCTCCATGGACGTCCCAAATTCGCTGAGCTGGATCAGAACAGCTAGAGAACTACAAAATATTCCCATAGAAAAAGCGTCCCTTGATTATTCAACTGATACGGGGTCATCGAAACCAGCCGACCTGGGACGCTTTGCGAAACAAACATATATTTCCGGTTACATGAAGACACTTACCCAAATCCGTGGTTCCGCTCACATGAGGGCCACCCCACCAATGCTATTCGCCAAATTCTCATTGCACGGCGAAAGTTACGGCACATTCGTGGCGTTCGCGTCTACTTACGAAGTATGGAGTCGTACTAAATGGGAAATGCGTTTAGTTATACAGAATCCACGATCTATAATGCGTTGTTTTGTAACGGATTACAGGTTGTTTCGCAAGATACTTCCAGCAATCCCATTCTGCTCCACATACCACTCTTCCCGTTCACGGATGGCATGATTGATACTTTTAGCCTGGCTCGCTAGGACAAGCACCAGCCTAATGACATAAAGTTCAATGACACGAGTATTTTTATCGTCATCGTCCACACTGACGCCGTCGTCCCGGATCCCGCGCTTCGCGCGACTGAGTCACCCTTCCTGTACTTCGCGCGTCAGGAGTGCTGACTTCGGAAACAAAAGGTATGGCGAGAACAGACGGCGGTGACGCTTCGCGGTCCAAAAATGCGAAGGGGCAGGCGCAGAGCACGCAGGTATGGAGGAACATGAACGACGGGAAATGGGGGACACGCGGCGAGTGGTGGGCAGCATTTCAGCTCATCCCGTTCATCCTCGTTCTCTACCCCCCTCCGTCACTCCTTCCCACCTTCCTTCGGGCCTCCGTCTGCCCGTCTGTGACGATTTTTTCCTTCGATGTCATCCGCGTTACTGGCGTTCTGATCGCTCTGAGCTCCTGTGTTTTCTTCGTATCTGCTCTGAAAGACCTTGGAGAAAGCTTGACACCTTTTCCCAAACCTGCAGCTGCCGCCACTCTGAAGACAGGAGGCTAGTACTCGATTGTGCGTCATCCGATATACGCAGGAGCTATTTTCTTCTCAGTTGGGGTGACTCTCGCAACATGTAGCAGCGAGAGGTTGCTGTACACTTGTTTTCTTGCCATGTTCCTAGACAGGAAGGCTAGCGTTGAGGAGAAGTGGCTTAGGGTTGGATTTGGACGACCATATATAGAATACAGTGCCCGTGTGAAGAAGCTTATTCCTTATGTCTACTAATTAGTAGTCTAGTAAGACTCACAGTGACTTGACATTCCAGCCAAATGTAAGTTCTTATCAGGGGGTGAATATTCGGTTTGCTTCTTCGTTCTTATCAGGAGCTTTATAGCAGTTCGCTGTGTCAAAGCATTTTATATGTTTTCTAGCTTTGTAGGCTGTGCAGGGGTTATCCCTAGAGGGTATAACCATTCTCTCGACAATCTTGTACCCCCCCAACCTAATCGACACTCACTTCTCCTCACATGCTTCTAACATGGTATTAAGAGCTAGTAGGTCCTTATGACCAGAAATTTAATAGGGCCCACCGTTAGTTCCTGCCCGAATCGCGCCCCTAGGCGCGTCGCGTTTTTTATTCTGCCCAAAACGAGCCTAGGCACGTCGGTTTTCACGGCCTAGCCCCGCTGCCCTGCCTGAGCGCCACCCTACCTGCGCGCGCTCTGCCTGCAGCTGCGCCGCCCTGCCTGCCTGCGCGCTTTGCACTCGCACCCTGCCTGCCCACTCGCCCGCTGCCAGCACACGCTTTGCCAGCCCCGCCAGTGAGTTCTGCCCCGCAAACACGCTGCCCGCCAGCAGCCTGCGCCCGGCCTGCGCCCTGCCTGAGTGCACTCCACGTACTCCCTGCCCTTCCGCGCTGCTACGCGCTGCTGCTGCTTTCACTTCTGCAGCTGCTACTGCTGCATGCACTGCTGCTGCTGCTAAGCGCTGCTGCTGCTGCTAAGCGCTGCTGCTGCTGCTAAGCGTGCTGCTGCCACTGCTGCTGCTGCCACTGCTGCATGCTCTGCTGCTGCTGCTAAGTGATGCTACTGCTGCTAAGCGCACTGCTGACCAGAGCTGCTGCTGCTACTGCTGCTGCAAGTGTTCCTGCTGCTGCGCCTGAGCTGCTGCTGCCAAACGCGCTGCTGCTGCTACTGCTGCTGCAAGTGGTCCGGCTGCTGCGCCTGAGCTGCTGCTGCTACCCGCGCTGCCTGCACACACCCAGCCCTCAGCAGCTTCGTGAGTGGGTTGTTCAGCGTGTTTCCCCTGGGGGCTCCAGTCGCTGCCCGTATGTCAGGCGCACTGGGAAGCAGAAGGGGCAGCCCTGCGGGAAGCTGCACACCGAGTACCGCTGCTTCGGCCGTCTTGAGGATGCATGGGTGGATGAGTATGGGGATGAGGCGATTGTCCCCAACTGGCTGAAACTGCAGGGGATGGGAGTCGATGTATATGCTCTTGACTTTGTTCAGATCAACAAGGCTATCTATGCTATGTATGTGACTGAGCTTAGTGACGAGGGTGCGTGTTACTCGTGTGTACTTGGTGATGTTGGTGTCGCTGCTGCTGCTCTAGATTCTATTGAGTCTGCTGCAACACTAGGTGCTAGTGAGTATTTGAACGCAGGTGCTAGTGAGTCTGTTGCCTCCGCTGAGGCCCTTCACACTTTCACACTTGACTTAGGCACATCTCGTTGTTTCTTCCGTGACTGCACCACACTCACACCACTAGCTGCACCGGTACCGGTCTCACTGGCCGACCCCACTGCGGGCCCAGTAGTCGCACGAGCCTCTACTGTCCTTCCGTGACCAGCAGTCCCCTTCGGTTCTCTATCAGGTCTCCACCTCCCCACGTTTTCCATGAACTTGGTGAGCAACGCCGCTCTTCAGGATGTATGGGTTGACACCTTTACTCCGGGAGGGCAGCGTGTGGCGATCTGTACGTGCTCCCGGACTGGCCGTCACCTAGCTACGTTCACTCGATGGCCTGGGTCTAGTCCGTACACACTGACCACTGCGTCTGCACAGGTGGCTGAGTTAGGTCAGGTGACTGCGTCGAGTCCGGTGTCTGCGTCTGGTCAGCTTGCAGCGTCTTGCTCGTGTCGGGTACTCTCCCACCAGACTCTCCTCCGGCACCACCGCCTCGGTCACCCCTCACTGCCGCGTCTCCGCAGCATGCACTCCCCTCTCCTTGTCTCTGGGCTTCCCAGGTCCCTGCCCTCCCTCCCATGCTCGTCTGCACTGTTAAACTTATGTTTATTATATAAACTGTTTGCTGTAGTTACTGTAGTGTTTGAGGCATTTCCTGTAGGTGATGCACCTCTCTTGTTTCCTATATGTTTCCAACTTCTTATAGTGAAGCCCCTCACTTTCTCGATTTTCTCCTTTGCATGAACTCTCTTGACATCCGTGGCTAGCTCACACCCTAGCCATGGCTCCTACTATCTTGACATGGTATTAGAGTCGTTACGACCCTTGGGCCCACCACCTGCTGCCCTGCGTGCCGCCCTCGTGCGGCCCTCCTCTCGACCTTCGGCACGGCCCGTCGCCCGTAGCCCCTAGGCCCCGGCCCGTCGCCCCGCGCCCGACGCCCCTAGCTCTCGGCCCCGGCCCGTCGCTCGCGCCCGTCGCCCCTAGGCCCGTCGCCCCTCGGCCCGTCGCCCCTAGGCCCCGGCCCCGTCGCCCGTCGCTCGCGCCGGACGCCCCTAGGCCCCGGTCCCGGCCCGTCGCCCGTCGCGCGACGCCCCTACGCCCGTCACCCCTAGACTCCGGCCCCCGGCCCGTCGCTCGCGCCCGCCGCCCCTAGGCCCGTCGGCCCCGTCGCCCGTTGCTCACCTAGGCCCGGCCCCGACGCTCGACGCCCCTAGGCCCGGCCCCGACGCTCGACGCCCCTAGGCCCCGGCCCCTAGCCCGTCGCCCCTCGGCCCGTCGCCCCTAGGCCCCGGCCCCGGCCCATCGCCCGTCGCCCGTTGCCCCTCCGCCCGTCGCCACAGCCCTTCGCCCCTAGGCCCGTCGCCTCTAGGCCGGCCCGTCGCCCCTAGCACGGCCCGTAGGCCCGTCGCTCCAAGCCTGGCCCGACGCCCCTAGCCCACGCGCCCCGGCCCGTCGCCCGACGCCCCTACGCCCGCGACTGACGCCCCTCGGCCCCCCCCTTCTCCTCCACCCCCCTGCTGCGGGTGCAGCAGTGGGGGGGGGGGGGGGGGGTATGGGGGTGGTGGGCTCTTGGAGGGTAAGGGGGTGGCTGGAATGGATCTGCAGCACCAGCCCCCCCGCCCCCCCCCCCTGTCTCCTCCATTCCCCTGCTGCGGGTGCAGCAGTGGGGGGGAGGGGATCTGCAGCACCAGCCCCCCCGCCCCCCTTTCTCCTCCATTCCCCTGCTGCGGGTGCAGCAGTGGGGGGGAGGGGATCTGCAGCGCCAGCCCCTCCGCCCCCCCCTTCTCCTCCATCCCTCTGCTGTGGGTGCAGCAGTGGGGGGAGGGGATCTGCAGCACCAGCCCCCCCGCCTCCCCCCTTCTCCTCCATCCCCCTGCTGCGGGTGCAGCAGTCGGGGGGAGGGTATGGGGGTGGCGGGTGTGAGTAACTGCTGCCGCCTCTCCTCCTCTCTCTCCCACTGCTGCACATGCCGCAGTGGGGAGGAGGGTGTGGGGGAGTTGAGGGAGTGGCAGTAGGGATGCTGAGGGGTGTGACAAGGAGGTTTTGGGGAATGGGGGAAGTTGTAGGGAGGTGGGCGCAGTGAAGCCAGCAGCTCTAGTCGCCCGTGAGACCGTTGCACCAGTTGCCCGTGAGCCCGTTGCTCCTGTAGCCCGTGAGTCAGTTGCTCCTGCCGCTCGCTTAGCCGCGGAGCCAGTTACTCCAGTTGCCCGTGTGCCAGTTGCTCCATTTGCCAGTGTGCCAATTGCTCCAGCTGCCCGAGTGCCACCAGCTTCGGCCGCCACCCACCACCTCCTCTCCTCTCATGGTCCCTCCTCCTCTTCACTTGCCCTCTCCTTCCTTCGCTGCGCCTGGTGTACCACTTCAGGGGGTGTCTTTGTACTGGTTCCTGCAGCTAACTGTTTAGGGGGTGTGTTAAACTTATGTTTATTATATAAACTGTTTGTTGTAGTTACTGTAGTGTTTGAGGTATTTCCTGTAGGTGGTGCACCTCTCTTGTTTCCTATATGTTTCCAACTTCTTATAGTGAAACCCCTCACTTTCTCGATTTTCTCCTTTGCATGAACTCTTTCGACATCCTTGGCTAGCTCACACCCTAGCCATGGCTCCTACTATCTTGACATGCACCGCCCTGCCTTCCCTGCGTCGAAGGGCGGCAGCGCGCCGCTCCTCACTCCTTCGAGTTTCCTCCGACCACTGCTCCTCTGCAGACTCTCCACATGGACATTTGGGGCCCTGCCCCCGTCGGTGGAACGGACCAGGAGCGCTACTTCCTGCTGGTTGTTGACGACTACACACGCTACACCACTGTCTTCCCCTTGCGTCGCAAGGCGGGGACGTCAGCAGTGTTTTGATCCTCTGGATCCGTGCTACTCTACGCCAGCTGCGCGATCGGTTTAGTCGGGACTTGCCAGTCCTGCGTTTGCACTCTGACAGGGGCGGTGAGTTTTCTTCTGACCTCCTTGCGGAGTTCTGTCGAGTCGAGGGCATCCACCAGTCGTTCACGCTTCCGTCCTCTCCTCAGCCAAATGGGATTGCTGAGCGTCGCATTGGCTTGATCATGGAGGTTGCTCGTACCTCCATGATCCATGCGGCTGCTCCCCATTTTCTGTGGCCGTTCGCTGTCCGATACGCTGCGCATCAGCTCAACCTCTGGCCCCGTGTCTCTTTGCCAGAGACCTCTCCCACACTCCGTTGGATGGGACAGGTTGGCGATGCGTCCGTGTTTCGGGTCTGGGGCGCGCTCTCCCTTGTTCGTGATACCACTGCGAGCAAGCTGTCCCCTCGCCCTCTTTGCTGCGTCTTCCTTGGCTTCCCCACCGACGCCCCGCCATGGCAGTTCTACCACCCGAGCTCGCGTCGAGTCTTCTCCTCCCAAGACGTCACCTTTGACGAGTCTGTCTTTTTCTACAGGCTACACCCGCACGCATCCCACCCGGTCCCCCCAGCGCCTGTTTTCTTCGTACCAGTCCCCCTCCCAGTAGACCCCCTCCCCCCACAGGGTCCTGCTCCCTCAGGTGTGTCTCAGGTAGACCCACTTCCCTTGGTTGAGCCTTTGGAGATCTCTTTTGACTCTTCTGGCCCAGCTAAGGGGGGTGACCCCGCCGCTGACGACACGGCGGCCACTCGCCGCTTTCCGCGCTTGGAGACCCCCCCTTGGTTTTCCCCCTAGGCTTTCTTCGCTGCCTCCGCAGCCTGCTGCTGTGGACTCTGGAGCTGAGACTGCTGGTGCTGATCCTGGGGGTGCTGAGGCAGAGGGTGAGGGTTCTGGGGGTGCTACGACTGGGGTTGCTGGTTCTAGGGGTGCTGAATCTGGGGGTGTTGCGAGTCCTGGTGGCGGTGGAGGGTCCAGTCCTGCTAGTGCTGGAGCTACTATTCCTGGAGGTGCTGGAGGTACTGCTGGAGGTACTAGAGGTGCTGCTGGTGCTGGAGGTACTGGAGTTGCTAGTCCTCGAGGAACTGGAGCTGCTGGTGCTGGAGGTGCTGGAGATGCTGGTCCTGGAGGTCCCACTAGTGCTGGAGGTGCTGGAGGTGCTGCTGGAGGTGCTGGAGGTGCTGTTGGTGCTGGAGGTGCTAGAGGTGCTACTGGTGCTGGAGGTGCTGGAGGTGCTGGTGCTGGAGGTGCTGGAGCTGCTGGTGCTGGAGGTCCTGATGGAGGTGCTGCTGGTGCTGGAGGTACTAGAGGTGCTACTGGTGCTGGAGGTACTGGAGCTACTAGTCCTGCTGGTCCTGGAGGTACTAGAGGTACTGCTGGTCCTAGAGGTACTGGAGCTACTAGTCCTGCTGGTCCTACTGGTACTAGAGGTGCTGGAGGTGCTGGAGGTGCTACTGGTGCTGGAGGTACTGGAGCTGCTGGTGCTAGAGGTGCTCGAGATGCTGGTGCTGGAAGTGCTGGAGGTGCAGGAGGTGCTGCTGGTGTTGGAGGTGCTGGAGCTACCACTGTTGGAGGTACTGGAGCTGCTAGTGCTGGAGGTCCTGCTGATACTGGAGGTACTGGACCTGCTGGTGCGCTTCGCCACCTTCTCGGTCTTCTGCCAGCTCCTACTGAGTTCCCAGTCACTGGTACTACTCCTCCGTTACTTCACAGCTCCTGCCTCACTCCCCACTACCTGCTCCTGCTCCTTACACTGCCGTGAGAGAGTCCCTGACTGAACGTCAAGAGCCTGAGACTCGTGCTTCCACTCCTGAGCATCGAGAGCTTGAGACTCGTGCTTCTACTCCTGAGCATCGAGAGCCTAAGACTAGAGCTCCTGTCCGTGCTCGTGTTCCTCGTGTTTGTCGTTCTCGTGCTCCGGCTGTCCCAGGCACTCACGATATGACACTCCGTCCTTCCTCTGTTCCACATCGCATTGTCCTGCCATCACCTCCTGATTCTTCTCTTCCTGCTGTTGCTGACCCTCCGTCTGACCTTGCTCATGTGTCCAGTCCGACTGTTACTTGCTTTCTTGCTACGGTTGTGACGGACCCTATGCTCTCGTCTCCTGCTGCGTCTGCCTTAGCCGCTGAGCTAGTTGACTTTGCTGCTGCGTACCGCCTAGACTACCTTGCGAGTCTCGTTTCTGACCCTGACCCTGCCTGTCCTTCGTCCATCGAGGGTGAGGTTGCCCATGGCTGTGACGTTCTTGAGGACAGACACTTTGAGCTTGAGTGTCTTGCGACCGCTGCACCTCATCTCGCGACCATGTTGCTTGCCCCTGAGGGAGACCTGGATGCACTTGACATCCCCACCCCGCGCTCTTACAGAGAGGCGATCTCGGGTGAGTACTCCTCTCAGTGGCAGATAGCCATGGACGTAGAGATGGCTTCTAGGAAGTCCACATGCACCTACATCGACGAGGTTCCCCCACCTGGGGCGAACATCGTCAGTGGCATGTGGATTTTCAGGGTGAAGCGGCCGCCGGGTTCTCCGCCTTCCTTCAAGGCGCGTTACGCTGCTCGAGGCTTCAGATAGCATGAAGGGGTCGACTTCATTCAGACCTTCTCCCCAACCCTGAAGATGACCAGTCTTCGGGTGTTGCTACACGTTGCAGCTCAGCGTGACTACGAGCTGCACTACCTCGACTTCTCCACAGCTTTCTTGCAGAGTAGCCTTCATGAGGCCATCTGGCTGTGCCGTCCACCTGGCTTCACTGGGTCGTTTCCTGAGGGCACCCAGAGGAGCCTTCGGCAACCAGTTTACGGCCTGCGTCAGGCGCCTCACGAGTGGCATGACACACTAAGGACGACACTTGCGGCTCTTGGGTTTGCTCCTTCGACTGCTGACCCGTCGCTGTTTCTGCGCACCGACACTACCCAGCTGCCGTTCTACGTTCTCGTGTACGTCGACGACTTGGTTTTTGCTACTGCTGACACGGAGGCGCTAACCCTAGTGAAGGCGAAGCTGCAGGAGAGACACACCTGCATTGACCTGGGTGAGCTGCGGAGCTATCTTGGCCTGCAGATCACCGGGGACAGAGCACGGCGCACCATCACCCTGACTCAGTCACACATGGTGCACTAGGTCCTTCAGCGATTCGGCTTCCAGTTCTCCTCGCCACAGCCCACTCCTCTGTCTACCGGCCACTCGCTCTCAGCTCCACCTTCAGACGAGTCCGTAGAGCCGAGTGGTCGGTACCCAGAGCTTGTGGGTTGCCTCATGTACCTGATGACGTGCACACGACCTGACCTCGCGTACCCTCTCAGCCTTCTGGCTGGCTACGTGGCTCCCGGTCGACACCGGAAGGTGCACTGGGATGCTGCGAAGAGGGTACTGTGTTAAATGTGCAGTACATCGGGCATGGGGCTCGTACTTGGAGGACGGGGTTCAGTGGTACTCACAGGACAATCCGACGCTTCTTGGGCCGACGACCAGGCGACTCAGCGTTCATCACAGGGTTACACCTTCTCTCTTCGCTCTGGTTCTGTCTCGTGGAGGTCCACTCGTTCTTCTTCTGTGCTTGGTTCCAGCTGTGAGGCCGAGATCTACGCTGGGGCCATGGCTGCACAGGAGCTACGCTGGCTGACCTACCTGCTGACCAACTTGGGGGAGCGGCCTCGTTCTCCTCCGGTTCTGTACGTCGACAACAAGGCAATGCTTGCCTTGTGTCATGAGCAGAGACTGGAGCACAGAACGAAGCACGCTGCTCTTCACTACTTTCTTGCTTGAGAGCTACAGCAGCATCGTCAGCTCCGCCTTTCCTATGTGGCCTCGCGGACCAACACTGCTGATGTCTTCACCAAGGCCCTTGGGCCTGGTGATTATCAGCGTTTCTGCACTGCTCTTGGGCTTGTGCCCACTCTGCCTCACCTGCTGGTTGCTTGACTTGCTCTTGTTGTACACTGATATATATCTTGATACCTGTTTGTTCACTCTTGCTAGGTTTTAATCAGTGTACTCCCTTGCTATTATAACTCTGCATGTGAACTGGCCTTGTGGTCGCTTGCTTGTGCTCAGATTGTGTGGTGTCCTTGAGATCCACCCTGAGCTTTGCTTTGCTTTGTTCTCTTGCTTGAATGGTCTTGTGACAACTATTAGGTTTGGCTATCCCCTTCTTCACCTATGGGGGTGTGTCAAAACATTTTATATGTTTTCTAGCTTTGTAGGCTGTGTAGGGGTTATCCCTAGAGGGTACAACCATTCTCTCGACAATCTTGTACCCCCCCAACCTAATCGACAATCACTTCTCCTCACATCCTTCTGACACGCTATACTGAGGATCCTCGCTGTAACTGAAGAAGTCCACAACCCATTTCTGTTGATGATTGTGCTCTCCGTAGTTTGCGCATGAACCAACGTTGGCATGGTGTGAGGCAGAGGTGAAGGGGGCAAGGCAGATGAATGTTATTTGGATAACCTCTAAATGCGACTGTATGCACTAACCCTAGCCTCATGGTAAATAAAACAATTATTCGCGTATTTGTGTCTCGCCTGAACGGCTGTACCCCTTATGGGCTGCCCAACTATAGCCTACACAACTGTAAGCATTATAACATTCTGACACACCCCCATAGGCAAAGTGGGGGAGAACAAGTGGTCACAAGACCAGTCAAGAAAAGCAAAGCAAGCTCAGGGTGGATCACAAAGTCAGCACACAGTCCGAGCACAAGCAAAGGGCCACAAGGCCAGTTCACATGGAGAGTTATGTAAAAGAGAACAAACAATACAGTGATCATACCCTAGCAAGTGTAAGCATGCTGGTATATATATAGATCACAGTACAGGCAAAGTCAAGCAGTGAGCAATTGAGGCAAAGTAGGCATAAGGCCTAACAAGGTAGAGAAGCGCTGATGATCACCAGGCGGAAGTGCCTTGGTAAATATATCAGTAGTGTTGGCCCTAGTGGCCACGTACGCAAGACGAAGCTGGCCACGCTACTACAACTCTCGAGCAAGGAAGTATCGCAGAGCGATGTGCTTCGTTCTGTGCTCTAGTCTGTGCTCCTGACACAAGGCAATCATGGCCTTGTTGTCTACGTACAGAACTTGAGGCGAACAAGGCTGCTCTCCCAAGTCAGTCAGCAGGTAGGTGAGCCAGCGTAGCTTTTGTGCAGCCATGGCCCCTGCGTAGATCTCAGCCTCACAACTGGAGCTGAGAACCAAAGACGAGCGGGTAGACCGCCAGGAAACAGAGCCGGAACCAAGGCTGAAAGTGTAACCCTGTGACGACCGCTTCGTAGCTGATTTGTCAACCCAAGAAGCATCTGCGTGACCAGTGAGGACTACTGGACCCCGTCCTCCAAGCACGAGCCCCATGCCTGACGTACTGCACAAGTAACGCAGTACCCTCTTTGCAGCATCCCAGTGCACCTTTCGGTTCCTACCGGGAGCCATGTAGTTAACCAGAAGGCTGAGAGGGTACGCGAGGTCAGGTCGTGTGCACGTCATCAGGTACATGAGGCAACCCACAAGCTCTGGGTACCGACCACTCGGCTCTACGGACTCGTCTGAAGGTGGAGCTGAGAGCGAGTGGCCGGTAGACAGAGGAGTGGGCTGTGGCGAGGAGAACTGGAAGCCGAATCGCTGAAGGACCTAGTGCACCATGTGTGACTGAGTCAGGGTGATGGTGCGCTGTGCTTTGTCCCGGGTGATCTGCAAGCCAAGATAGCTACGCAGTTCACCCAGGTCAGTGCAGGTGTGTCTCTTCTGCAGCTCCGACTTCACAAGGGTCAGTGCCTCGGTGTCAGAAGTGGCAAAGACTAGGTCGTGGACATAGACGAGGACGTAGAACGGCGGCAGCGACGTGTCGGTGCGTAGAAACAGCGACGGGTCAGCAGTAGAAGGAGCAAACCCAAGAGCCGCAAGTGTAGTCCTCAATGTGTCGTGCCACTCGCGAGGCGCCTGGCAAAGACCGTAGACTGGCCGCCGGAGGCTCCACTGGGTACCAGCAGGAAACGACCTAGTGAAGCCAGGTGGGCGGCGCATCCAGATCTCCTCGTGCAGGCTGCCCTGCAAGAAAGCTGTGCTGAAGTCAAGAGAGTGCAGCTCGTAGTCACACTGAGCAGCGACGTGCAGCAACACCCAAAGAGTGGTCATCTTCGGGGTAGGGGAGAAGGTCTGGAATTAGTCAACCCCCTGTCGCTGACTGAAACCTCGAGCAACGTAACACGCCTTGAAGGCAGGCGGAGAACCCGGCGGCCGCTTCACCCTGAAAATCCACATGCCATCGACTATGTTCGCCTGAGACGGGGGAACCGCGACGACGTAGGTGCCTGTGGACTTCCAGGATGCCATCTCGGCATCCATGGCTGCCTGCCACTGAGAGGAGTAAGGACCCGTAATCACCTCTGCGTAAGAGCGCGGGGTCGGGATGTCTGGTGCATCTGGGTCTCCCTCAGGGGCAAGCAGCATGGAAGCGAAACGAGTTACAGCAGCTGCAAGACACTCAAAGTCCTCCTGCCTATCCTCAAGGACGTCCGTGCCAAGAGCACACTCACCCCCGACGGACGGAGGACAGGCAAACTCAGACTCAGCAACAAGAGCAGTGGCGTAGTCTAGATGATATGCAGCAGCAAAGTCAACCAGCTCAGCAACGAGGGCAGACGCAGCAGCTCCACTACCCCTAGTACGAGCACCTCCAGGACCAGCACCCGCAGTAACTCCAGTACCACCAGCTCCCGCAGTAACTCCAGCACCTCCACCTCCAGAGTCTCTAGCGCCTCCAGCTCCGGTAGCTCCACTCCGAAGGCGTGCGCGCCGAACAAGCCACGCACGCAGCTTCTGCGGCGACAGTCTCGGCAAAGCACCAGCAGGACCTCCAGACGAAGGAGCACCCTCAGGCTCAGCACCCCCAGGCTCCTCACCCCCAGGCTCAGCACCCCCAGACCCAGCACCCTCAGACTCCGCACCCCCCGGCTCCGCACCCCTAGACGCAGCACCCCGAGACGCAGCACCTTGAGCAGCACCTGAGCCGACAGCTACCTCAACAGGCGCAGTACCAGGGAGAGGGTCTACCTTAGACACACGTGAGGGAGCAGGACCCTGAGGGGGGAGGGGGTCTACAGGAGGGGGACCTTGAGCAAGGAAGAGCGGCGGGGGTGGGGGAGGGGCAGAGCGGTAGGGGAAGAGACGGTAAAAGGGGACCGACTCATCAAACGTGATGTCCTGAGAGGGGAAGACACGGCGCGAGGTGGGGTGGTAAAACTGCCAGCCAGGCGCGTCAGGGGAAAAGCCAAGGAGGACGCAGGGAATAGCGTGGGCGGAGAGCTTGTCCGCGGACGTATCACGAACAAAGGCACGAGAACCCCAGACCCGGAACACCGACGCATCGCCAACCTTCCCCGTCCATCGCAGTGTAGGCGAGGTCTCCGGCAAGGAGACATGGGGCCAGAGGTTGAGCTGATGCGCAGCGTACCGGACCGCAAATGGCCACAGAAATTGGGGACCAGCCGCATGGATCATGGAGGTAGAGCGACCTCCATGACTAAGCCAATGCGGCGCTCAGCAATCCCATTTTGCTGAGGGGAGTCCGGAAGCGTGAACGTCTGGAGAATGCCCTCCCCACGACAAAAGTCCCGCAAGAGGTCGGAGGAGAACTCACCACCTTTGTCAGAGTGCAGACGCAGGACACGAAGGTCCTCACGGAACCGCTCGCGGAGCTGGAGACGGACTGCGCGGATTCAAGGGATCAAGGTATCAACGACCTGACCTTTGCTGCACAAGGGGAAGACCGTGGTGTACCGCGTGTAGTCGTCAACAACCAGCACAAAGTAGCGCTCGCGGCCCTGTCCTCTTATGCGGGCTGGGCCCCACACGTCCATGTGGAGAGTCTGCAGGGGAGCAGTCGTCGGGGGAAACGAGGAGGAGTGAGGAGCGGCGCGCTGCCACCCCTCGACGCAAGGAAGGCAGGGCGGGGCAAGCGAGGGCGGCATGGGAGGCAGAGACCTGGGAAGACCAGAGATAACGAGACGGGAGTGCATGCCACGAAGGCGTGGCAGGGAGGGGTGACCCAGGCGGTGGTGCCACAGAAGAGTCTGGTGCGACAGGAGGCGACACGAGCAAGGGGGTGCTACCTGTCCTGACGCG